AGAGAGACAGCGAGAAATCACCCCCCAGGGGTATGGCCACACCAAAATCCCTTCTCCATTCTCGTCTCGGGATCATGGGCACGCACGCATACATGCCCAGCATGAGTTTAAGCCTCCAGGTCCGGGACTCGAACTGCAGTCGACTACATGGGAATCCAGCAACGTAGCCATCATGCCAACTGCTGGTCCCTGAATGCTTATGTTTTATTTCTTCCAACAAAAAATAAGCTCACCTTAGTTCTGTGTCCCTTACATATCTATCCCAGCACAGTGGTAAAAAATCATTGGAAAAAGACCAACCGGGTTCAAATCCTGTCACGCCACTCATCTAGCCGAGTGGCCTCGGACATTTTATCTATGTCTAACTGAACTAGTTATCTTATTATCTGAATGGCGTCCAAGCATCATGTGAGTTCCAGGATGATCCACTCATTCTTTCATTCATTTATTCACTGAGGGCACAAGTGCTGACCAGAGAGACAGGAAAGGAAGAGGAGAAAGTACCCATCAATGGGGTGTGGTCACACCACAATCCCTTCTCTTCCACTTCTCCATCCTGGCAGTATTTTGTACATGCACACACACATATGCACTCAATATGTTTCAAGCCTCCGTGGCTGGGATTCAAACTGCAGTTGACCATGTGGCCTCTGACTCCCTTAACTACTATGCTATGAGGCCAGCCCAGGCCCTTGTGTTTAACCGCCTCCAGATATTTCACCTAACCAGCTAGAGGCAACTCAAACAGGTAAAGAAAGAATCATTATCTCTGCTCTCTCCACTCCACCCACACGTGCTCTTCCAGACCTCCCAACGCAGGTGCATCAGTTCAGTTTCCCAAGCCAGAAATCCTACGGACACCTCACATCTCCCTTCCCAGTCCATCTATCTCATCGGTTCATTTAGAAAACAGAGCATGCTGGTATTGTGCAGGGACTCGAGATAAACGGGAGAAGGCAGACTCTCCTAGACTACAGTGGGGAAGATGAGCAATGAATACATAAAGAAATGGGGTGAGCACAGCTTAGGATAAAGGGTCTGAAAGAAGCTATGATAGAAACAAACAATGGAGTTACATCTGACAGAGGTCAGGGGTGGCCTCTCCAAGGACTGAATTTATACCAGGTCTGAATATCGAGAAGCATAGTAGTTGAGTGTTGTGCAAAGGGAGTTAGAACCCACACAGCTGACTGGTTCAAATCCTGGCTCTGGTGGCTTGAAAACCACACTGGGCACATGTACATGTGCCCAGAATCCTAATGAGGCAGAGAATAGAAGAAAAAGGGATTACAGTGTGACCAGACCCCATTGGGAGGTGCTCTGTTTTTGTTTTTGTTTTTTCCCCTCTCTATTGCACATGCACACAAACCCTTTGAACATTAAAAAAAAGGGGGGGGGGAGCTGATTGTGACAAGATGGAGAAGGAGTATTCCAGAGGGACAGTAGTACAAAGCAAAGAAATAGGAAAGAAATGAATGTGTCCCAGGAGGTCAGATGGCCTGCACGACTGAAACGTCTAAGACATGATTCCTACCTTGTAAGTCTATCCAGCAAGGGACATAGGCTTAGTTCATTTTCTTACTGTCTCATAAACTATGTTGGTCCCATCTGACTGAAACAGAAGCTCTAAGAAGGGCAAACTCCACCCAGGCAAGCATAATCCTGGGAGTTATATGAGGCTCGTGAGATATGAGCAGGTCCCCATGGGTTGAGGAGTCTGGAAACATTCAGTGGGTGAGAACAGGCATTCCCAACAGGAGAGGCGGTGTGAGCCAGGCCTAGAAAGCAGGATGACATGTGCTGAGATTACAGGTAGACTTGACTAGGTCCCCAGACTGGAAGGCAAGTGGGTGAAGATTTAAAAAGAAAAGGGCTGGGGCATAATGGTTAGTTACGTCATTGGACTTCCACAGAGTAGACCGTGGTTTGAGTCCCAGACCCAGCAGGTTAAACTCACACTGGGCACATGTGTGTTCATGCCCAAAATCCTGAGAGGAGAATGGAGAAGGAATTGTGGCATGGCCATCCTTCCTAGGAGATGATTTCTTGCTTTCTGTCTCTCTGGTAAGCGCACATACCCTATAACAAAAAAACCTCCCCCCACTAAAAAAAAAAACAACAAGAGAAAGGCTGAGTTGTCTGGATAAGTTGAAAAGTCAAGATGGGCTGAGAGGGACATGAAGAACAGTGACTTAAGGATATCTGCAGACAGTGCTGAGATGTTGAGTAGAAGACAAACCCCAGGGAAGTCTGCTGGGACCACATAGGAGTGTACTGATTTGGTGCGTGCACACGCTTTTCAAGCCACTGGAGCAGGGATTTCAACCACTTGGTCATCCTTGTAGGGGCCAGTTCCCTTTTCAACTGCAATGGCTAATTTCTTATCTTACACTTAAAAATTTGTTAAGGAGGTAGATAGAGCTCATGTTACCAATGAAATTTTAAAAATAAAAAACGGAAAAAATGTTAATTTTATGTTATGTAAATTCCATCTAAATTTAAAAGAAATAAATTAATGAAGAAGTATAAAGGAGGGGCCGGTAGGTGGCGTGGTGGATAAGGATGCTGGACTCCCACATGGCTGACCACAGTTCAAATCCTAGACCTGGATTCACCTGGCTTGCTTTCTCACTTTTCTTCTCTTTCTCACTCTGGCCCTCTCTGATCAAATTAAGATAAATAAATGGATAAATAAAGTTAAATAAAATAAATAATTATTAAATAAAATAAAAAGAAGTATAAAGCAGTGTATGGTACATGAGGCCAAACAACTGAGTGTTAAAATCAATTGCCAAAGCTCATTATTACCATCCTAGAATAAACTGTCATGGTATAAGAATAAATCTGAAAATTTTCTAAGCATATAATTATAACTTCAATGTTATTATTACATTTTTTAAGTTGTTTTTATTTTTTAAATTTCTTCCATGCATGTCAAGACAGAGAGAGATGGCAACCCCTAACAGGGCCTCGATGCCACAGTCCACTCCCAGCCTTAGCGGGCCCTGGACTGTGAGCCCACGTGCCAGGTACACTCAGGGAGGTCTCGAGACTTAAAGCTGGAAGCTCCCTATGTGGGCCAGTCTCGCGGAGTGACACCTTTTACCGCCGTATCAGTGTCCATCCCCTACTAAACTGGACTTTCACACATGAGAGTATTAATTCCTTAGCACTACTGCCCGCTGGTTGTTCCTATGATAGAACACCTGGATACTAACGACACACTTTTTTTCAGCTCTTCAAAGGTGGTGGTAAGGTATTTTTCAGTGGCCTCTGCCAGTACAGACCCTGTGTATAGTGACATTACCACTGAACCGTAAGTTTTCCTTTCTCCTAGACACTCTGACCATAGGAAATACATACTCTTCAACTTCCATACTAGAAAATTGGGTTGATGGTGATGACGTAATTTCAAACAATCCCACAAAGTGAAGCTTTTTGTGCACCCCACGTAAAGATACTTCCTGAATATTTTAAGAGCAAGTAAAAGATCATTTCTTCACTGGATTGGCCCCCTGCCCTTGTGGTTAAGGAGTCAGAGTCCACATGCTGACCATGGTTTGAATACCAGCTGGGCAACTTGAAAAACACACCAGGTGCATGTGTAAGCATGCTCAAAACCTTGACAGAGACACGGAGAAATGGAGGAGAAGGGATTGTGGCATGGCATGCCCCACTGGGGGGTGTATTCACCTTCATTTCCTCTCTATCTTCCAAGCACACATTCCCTCTGGCATATTTTTAAAAAGATGATTTCTTAAAAAAAAAAAAAGAAAGAAAGAAAAAAAAAGGGAACCAGCAGTTAGCATAATGGCTATGTTTGCTGGACTCCCACGTAGTCGACCGCGGTTCGCGTCCTGGACCCGGTGGCTTAAAACTCACACCGGGCGCATGTGCGTGCGTGCGTGCCCAAGATCCCGAGAGGAGAATGGAGGAGAAGGGATTACGGCATGACCATCCCTCCTCGGGGGTGACTTCTCGCTTTCTGTCTCTCTGTTTCTCTCTGTCTATCTGGCGAGCACATGCACCCTATAGCAAAAACCTCTCAAAAAAAAAAAAAAAGATGATTTCTTTGGGACCAGCAGTTAGCATAATGGCTATGTTGCTGGACTCTCATGTAATCGACCGCGGTTTGAGTCCTGGGCCCAGTGGCTTAAACTCATGCCAGGCACGTGTGAGTGTGTGTCCAAGATCCCGAGAGGAGAATGGAAGAGAAGGGATTGCGGCATGGCCATCCCCCCATGGAGTAATTTCTCACTTTTTGTCTCTGTCTCTGTCTTTCCGGTGCGCATACTTGCCCCATAGCAAAAACCTCTTAAAAAAAAAAAAGATTTCTTCACTCCTATTTTAAATTTCTAGTATTTCTGCATGTACTGCATTATTATCTAAATTATTATCTAGTCTCAAAACCTCTCCTAATAATCTGCCAACTGATTTTTCTATTAAACTGTTTGAAAGTTCTTATTTATTTATTTAGTTAGTTAGTTAGTTAGGAGAGGTTTTTGCTATAGGGTGCGTGTGCTCGCCAGGAAGACAGAGAGAGACAGAAAGTGAGAAATCACACCCCAGGGGGAATGGCCACACCAATCCCTTCTCCTCCATTCTCCTCTCAGTATCTTGGGCACGCATGCACACACGCCCAGTGTGAGTTTAAGCCACCGGGTCCGGGACTCAAACCACGGTCAACTACATGTAAGTCCAGTGACATAGCCATTACACTAACTGCTGGCCCCTGAAAGTTCTTATTTATTTTTGAACATAATATAGTTTCCAATTATTGCTTTATTTTATTTTCAAATCATCAATTTAAACATGAACTTAAATTATGGATAGAATTTCAACATATAAAGTACCCAAGGAGATTTTTTTTCATCTCAGTTCAACTAGAATGATCGCCCAAATTCAAAAGTGAATATTCACGCGGTAACGATAAATCCCAATGATGAGCCTCACTCTTCCCGTGGACATTCATATTTCGATTAGAAATGGCAGTTACTTACATGAGGCCAGAATCACTGATCCCCACCGATCACAGTTCGAAGATGCCAGAGCTCACGTGGAAGTGGGCGCTTGACTGCTTGGCCTCCTGAGGTTGCTGCCAAAACCAAATCAAAAGTCTGAGGTGGGTGGTGGTGTGTTCCTAGCAAGGGTACCAGAGACAGGGAGTGGGCTATGAGGAGATGAGCATTCTGGACAATTCTCAGGGCAGGAAAGGGGTAACTTTTACCCTCAACTGACCCGGTGAAAGTGACTGCACTGTCATCCTACTTCCTGCTGGATCTTCTAGTGCACAGTGAGTGGAATTCACTGGAAGGGAAACCCAGGAAAGGGGAAGTAACTGCAGAAGGAGGCAGGGTGCTACTCTGCAAACGCGTCCTGTCGGCTGCAGTAACGTCCACACGCAGCTCATGTCGCTTGGCACATTTCACATCACACGGCACTAACGCGTCAGTTATAAAGCTACTAAGATGTGCAGTATTCCCTGTTTTTTCCAGTGGCTACGCTTAAGGATAGAAAAACCTAGGGAAATCCCAAGAGAAGGCTTTGCAATTCGCTCGGGCGGACTCAGAGGCTTTCCTCACCTCCATCCAAACCACCACACATTGCGGTGTTATAACACACTGATGTTCTGGAGGCTGACAGGTCCTGCTTTCATCCCCTTAGCTACCCGTTATTTCCAACTATTATCTTACGGTAGGTAGAGGGAGGTACAACGAATCAGAAAGTTCACTCAGCTGTAAAACGGGAATCTGAGTGCCATGTGAAGGTGGTTTTCAAAACAGAAATGCTTTGTTCCAAGCCAAAGAAATCAGGATTCCTTCTGTGTGAGATTCAGATCTGCTGGAGACCTTTTATTTGGTTAATAATTCAGTGATTGGGGCCGGCAGGTGGCTTGGCAGTTAAGGACACGGGACCCCCACATGGCCAACCGTGGTTCAAGTCCCAAACCTGGTGGCTGGTGCTCTCTCTCTCTCTCTCTCTCTCGGTCCCTGTCTGGTCAAATTAAAATATATAAAGTTAAATAAAAATAATTATTTAAAAAATAATTCAGTGACTGGAGACAGGAAAGATCAACTCAGTGTATTTCAGAAAAACATCTTCACTAGAGAAAGCGGCAGGTGACTTTTCCTAATAAGACAAGCCACAAAGAAGTCACCTTTCACACGATTTTTTGTTTTGTTTTGATTCAAACTTGAAGTTGTCTGATACGCGATCACAGGAAGTGCCTCGAAGGTCGCGTTTCCCGGAAAGCCTCTTTGCTTCCTGCGGCAGCCCCTTCTTTCCTAACGTCTCTAGTTTAACTATTACAGGGGAGCCTTAGCCACCATCGCCGGAGTGAAGCTGGGGACACCGAAGCTTGGGATGGACGAGGAGGTGAGGGCTTGCCAAGGGCTGGAGAATGCTGGCTCGGAATACAGGAGGTCACACACCTTCCTGAAGTTAGTCGACTTAATCCTCCCAAAGGGGATCGATGCACCCTGGTTGTCAACTTTTCCCATTACAAGCCCTGCAAGTCCCATACCCTGGGAAATCTCTGAGTCCCAGGCAAACCAGATGGCTGATCGCTTAAGACCTCGCCTCCACATACATACAAGATGTCCTGAGCGGGAGTCAGAGCGCCACAAGCTTTTCAGGTTAAATGTGTGTGTTAGGTCGTGCCGAAATCATGATGTAGTTTTCTATGTTTTTCTATGCAAAAATGCATCATGGCTTTTCCGATGGCCCAATACTGTGAACCTTTGTCTCACAGCATCCGTCTTTTTCTACCACTGAATAGAATGCCACTTACTGTAAAATACCATTAAGATTTTTTAAAATTAGTTAGCAGGTGCGTGTGCTTGCAGGAGAGCAAGAGAGACAGAGAGAAGCACTCCCATGGAGGATGGCCTCACTGAAATCTTCCCCGTTTCTCCCTCCTGCTGGGGTCTTGGGCACACTTGTACATGTAGCTGAGGTGTGTCTCAGGCTGCTGTGTCCAGGACACAGACCATGTAGTTGGCCACATGGGATCCAGCCCCCTTAATAGCACACCACTGGCTGGACCAAGAATTGGTTTTTATTGCCTTTTTAATTGCCAGAGGGCAGGTGTGTGTGTGTGTGTATGTGAGAGAGAGAGAGAAAGCACCCCCAAACGGGGCATGGTCACACCACAATCCTTTCCCCACTTTTCCATCCCATCGGGATTTGCGGAACACATACACAGATGCCCGGTGTGTTTTTCAGCTCAATCTCTCTCTCTTTTTATTGGAGAGGTTTTTGCTATAGGGCACATGCGCTCACCAGACAGAGACAGAAAGTGAGAAATCACCCTCCAGGGGGGATGGCCACAACGCAATCCCTTCTCCTCCATTCTCCTCTCGGGATCTTGGGCATGCACGCACACGCGCCCGGCATGAGTTTTAAGCCACTGGGTCCAGGACGCGAACCACGGTCGACTACATGGGAGTCCAGCGACATAGCCACTACGCTAACTGCTGGTCCCTAGCTCTCTCTCTTAACTACTATGCTATGGGACAGCCTGGTCTTGAATTTTTTTAAACTCTGATTTTGTTTAAATAGGAGATTATTTTCTGTGCTTACAAAAATTATTTTGTGGGGAAATGACTACTTACCTAATGGAGTTACTGCTTTGTACTTCTCCCTCAAGCCCTTGTTCCCTGCCATGAATCTGAGTGTACACACACACACATACACACACCTATACCAAAGTCCTCCCAAAAGAAAACAAACCACACTATCCCAAGATTAAAGACAGTAAATTAAATTCTTTGTGGCTTAATCTGAACTGAAATCTTCTGTTTACAATGTTTCTACGGAGTTAGCAACTATGTTAGTTCCTACTGCTGCTGTAACAGATGACCAGCTTTGTGGTTTAGAACAACAAAATTTTATTCTCAGTTCTGGAGGCGAGAATACGACAGGGCTCTTACAAGCTAAAGCCAAGGGGCCGGCAGGGCTGAGTTGCTAGGCTCTTGGGGGGCCCACCTCCTTGCCCTTCCCAGCTTTATTCCCGACTCCTGGCCCCTGCGGTCCCTGCGAGCAATCCTCTCACTCTGCCCTGAGCCTCTGTTCTCCCACCTACTTCTGAGACTCTTCGGTCCCTTCCTCCCATGTGCTCAAGGACCCTTGCAATTCAAGTGGGCTCACCCAGATAATCTAGAATCATCTCCCCACCTCAAGACTGTTACATCTGCAGAGTAGCAGTCACAGGTTCTGGAGATGAGGACGTGGATAGCCTTGGGGGCCAACACCCTACCGACCGCAGTAATTTCGACACCACCTTCAACGCTATCAGGGCAACGCTGTGGACCTTTGTGTCTTATTTTCCTCAGTCTACCAGGAACTTTCAAATATTTAGGCACCTCGCAGTTTCTAAACACATTTGGAAAGATATTTAGAAAAGATACGATTCGCTTTACGTGATCCTGTTTCCCTGTCATCGGGGAAGGCGATGAAATGGACAGGGGTCTCCTGACTGTCGTCTCCACAGCAGGCTTTCTCTCGTCCTGGGAGGACCCCACGATCTTCAACATGTCTTACTTTGGCTCACACCAACTAATGGAACCAGGTCGAACCACAGAAAGGCTCCACGTAATGCTGTACGATGTTTGCGAGGGGACAGGACGGTGTCACAGCATTGTCAAGCTATGTAAATAGTTAAGAGCGAAGATTCTGCAAGGACATAGACTCGAATCCTGACTCAGCCGCACAGACGCCCTCGCCCAGTTCCAGTTCTACTTACTGGTGCTTACTGAGGTCCCCGTGACTGGGTGAGCCCAAGCCTACAGAGCACTGGGCCGCAGCTCAGCTTTGGCATCAGAAAGGTCGTACTACACCGGACACTCACACTCACAGCTGCCCCTGCCACAGGGCGAAGAGATAAGAGACCCCGAGGGGAAGGGTGTGGATGAGAAGGACAGACTAATAAAGCGGGGGTCAGACAGACCAATCTCTCTGATGGAGAGCACCCAGGCCTGAGTCGCTCTGTGCTCTTCTTTAATAGAGGAGGCAAAGCCCGAAGCTTCAGCTGGGGAGCGCCTCGTGGTCCTAAACGAGCCTCTCCTGCCTCCTCTGGCGGACACTCAGGTTTACTTTGTAGAGCCCAGCAGTAATTTTGCCTTTGTTTAGAGCTTTCAATGCCCTACAGCAATAGCACAAAGACATCTACTTTAAGGCCTCCCTGCACACAACAGTGTTCCTCATTGTACAATGAAACAGACTCCCCAAATCTAAATCACTTGTCATTTAAAAAAAAAAAAAATTAAATAACTTGCCTAAGGACACACGGCTAGTGAATAATCGTAAATATATGCGCTACCTTGCACAGTATTCACCCTGAAACAACTCTGTCCACATCCTCTTAGGTCAGAGGTCCCTTTTAAAACATCTTCTCTCAGGATTTGCAGAATCTGTTTCTAGACAAGCTTTCCTTACGAAATTGGTAGACTGAAATTTAGTGATGTGTTGATTGAGGAATAAGACATTTCAGTTAGGGTTTTTTTAGTTTGTTTGTTGGTTGCTTTATTTTTTATTTTTTTTTTTTAATAATTTGCCAGAGGGTACATGTGCTCACCAGAGAGAGAAAGAGAAAGAGAGGAAATGAGAAAGCACCCTGATGAGGCATGGTCATGCCACCATCCTTTCTTTTCCATCTTTCCTTCCTTTCAGGGTTTTGCACAAGCATGCACATGTGCCTGGCATGTTTCACAAACCATGGGGTCCAGGACTCGAACCATGTCAAGTGGATGGCCATGTGGGATCCAGCCACTTGAACCACCAGGCCATGGACTGGCCCCATTTCAGTTTTATTTTACAAATGACTATAACTTATTAGCAGAGTTCTAGATTTTCAGTCTAGTATTTTTAAGACAAATAATAGGGAAAAGGGGATTAATCTGAGGAATCATTTCCGTGGATAAAGCAAGATGCTTCTCTTCTTTGATGTGTATAATTTAGATTCTACTGCTTATACCATTTTCTCTCTGTCCTTACTTAACATTAGAGCAAAAGCATTTCCTCCACATAATTAAATATACTTCATAATATTTTTAGGAGTAGCTTTGAGATAGTTTTTCTCTAAACAAAAATAATCAAGTTCACTGTACACATTTTAGAAAATGCGGCTAAGCCTGAAGAGTAAAAATCATCTATAGTTTCACCCCTCCCAGAATTACCGATGCAAAGACTTTGCTTTATAATTTGCCATCCTTTTTCAAACACAAAAACTTCACTTCCCAGTGTACGTACTGCTCTGTAACATTTTTCCATTTATCTTGATTATTATCCACAGCATAGTATCATGTTTGTTTGTCCAGTAGATATTATAGTAGTTATCTGACTAAGTTGTCATTTTATTTGCAAGTAGGCTTCCCATACCGCATTGTAGACTTCAAGGACGAGAACCGTTGTCTTATCTGCCCTGGCCTAGTAACAAGTCTCACGGTGCATGGCACATGGCAAGTGGCCACTCAAACGTGCGTTCTCTGAAATTCTTCAACTTTCCTTCTAATTAAAACTTCTTCTTCATATGCCTGAATATTTAACTCCATAAAACAGAAATACGATGGAAAGGTGTGCTCGTCTTTTCCGCAGTAACCTAGAGTGAGAGCTCTCTGATCAGATATGCCTGGGTCTAAATCTCTTCATTACTTACAAACGAAAGGACTCTGAGTTAAGTTACTGAATCTTTTTAAGCCTCAGTAGTTATCTCTACGTAAAAGGAGTGTCTCACAAGGTAACTATTATTAAGCCTGCATATTTATTAATTTGAAGATATCTACTAGGGGGCCAGATGGTACCCTGCAAGGCAATCCTCCATGGGAAGGTTCCCGGTTCATGTCCAGAGACCTCCCAGGGGATGTGAGGCTAGCTGAAGGGTAGAGCCCTCCCTGGGGATGTGAGGCTAGCTGAAGGGTAGAGATGGAGGGTGGCTTTCATGACTCTGTTGAAGGTGCTCTCTGTCTCTGTTGCTCATGGAAAAAAATAACAAGCTTTTTGAAAAGTCTATTGAGGGACCAGCAGGTGGTGTAGTGGTCAAGTCACTGGACTCCCACATGGCTGACTGCAGTTTGAGTCCCGGACCAGGTGGCTTGAAAATCATGCCAAGCACATGTGCATACAGGCCCAAAATCCCAGGAGGAGAATGGAGGAGAAGGGATTGCGGTGTGGCCATCCCCCTGGGGGTGATTTCTCGCTTTCTGTCTCTCTATCTCTGTCTTTCTGGCGAGCGCATGCGCCCTATAGCAAAGACCTCTCCAAAATCATCATCATCATCATCACAAGTTAATGAAAAAACCATGCATGGATTTCAAATATTTTTTGCATCAAATGAACTTTTTCTATCTTCCATGAACTTGAGGTCCACTTACACACATTTAAGTGAGTATAGGCATTAATTAATTTCAGAGCTACTAAAAAGGATATTAGAAAAGATTTATTTTGGGGGCAGGCAGGTGGTGTGGTAGTTGAGGGCACTGGACTCCCACATGGCTGACAGTGGTCCGAGTCCTGGACCTGGCTCCTTGCTTTCTCACTTTCTCTCTATCTCTCTCTCTCTCTGGTCAAATTAAAATAAATTAAATTAAATAAATAATTCTTTAAAAAAAGAAACGGATTTCTTGGGACCAGCAGTTAGCATAATGGCTATGTCACTGGACTCCCATGTAGTCGACCGCAGTTCAAATCCCAGACCCAGTGGCTTAAATTCACGCCGGGCGCGTGTGCGTGCGTGCCCAAGATCCTTGAGAGGAGAATGGAGAAGAAGGGATTGCAGCGTGGCCATCCCCCCTGGGGGGTGATTTCTCGCTTTCTGTCTCTCT